ACACCTGGCGCTGGTTGGGTGGGCAAAAGGGGGCGGTGCCTTATAACGATGCTTATTTGTACTGATTGCTGGGGAAAAAAATTATAACCTACTAAAGATGTCACTGGTCCTGTGCGCTCGCAATGGGAGCTCATATGTCATGGCTCACTTGACGTTTTTGGAGATGTGAATTAACTATTTAAATTGTAATTGTTATGTTTCAGCGGAGCGGTGGGTTTGTAATTGTGCACTACTTACGCATTCAGGCGGTCTGCAATACCAATGCCACGCTTTTTCTCTTTGTTTGATCTGGACCAGCCCTGGTTTGTTGTAAAAGCGGTGTCAACAGCTGTCCGACATTCCCTCTCTTAGATTGAAAGATCTCAATCAGACGAAAACTGTGTTGATCAGTGCTGTCATAAAATTCCTGCTTGAGGTTCTTTCCCACAATCCTGTTGAATTCCATGAACACCTGTAAAATAAAGAGAAAAATAACCTTTTACACACCGCCCCAGATGAAATAATAAAAGTGAACATGATGGTTTTGGGGGTCATGTATGCATTATATGGACTTTGGAGATTAACTATTTTTCTAAAATAGTGTATTTGTTATATTGGTTTTCATCTGAGATTACGGATATGTTGCCATGACAACAAATCCAGGGAGACTTTCAAAAAATGCACAGACCCGGGACAATATGAAATTGTCATAATTATCTGGCTAACCTGTTAATCCATTTATGCAGAGTGGATTAAACTAATGATGATGATGACCCTCATGAGGGCTACCTCAGCTGCCACAATACAGCCATTTCATCTTTCACTGTAAAATACCCTTAAAATCATCTTTTTGTTTATGAGGACGCTGGTAAGGAGGAACATGAAATGCATAAAAAATAATTTAGCAAGAATACATTATTACTAGAAATGAAAAAGCAAATCCCATAAAAGTAATACTTCTTTTCTCTTTGTAGATGGGACTGAAAGGTGCATGACTTTAACATGTAAATGAAATAAATTTTTGACCATCAGTTACAATTTGCTGTGTTGCACAAACATCCAGATGTGCAGGTATGAAGCTCTTTACCTCATATCCTCTGAGGATGCCATTGGCACTGAGCTGCTGGACAGGCTCCCATGAAACCTGGATCTCAAAGGCAGTGAGTGCAGTGGCATTAATGTTTGATGGTCCCACTGTTGGCTCTATGAAGAGACATCCCGAGGTCAAAAGGTCAGAATAAGCAACATACAGTATACTTGTACACTGTTTTAATATGTTACTAACAGAGATGCAAACACAGGGTCATGTTTATTTTATTGCCAGTGAATTCCTACTTTCTGACTGATCAGTCAGGTTGTAGCCGACACTCGGTTTCAAGCATTTCACTACAAATCTTTGAAATCTACAAATCTTACTGTGAGCTTCTTCTATCTACATCACGCTGATGAATATTTTTTGATTTGTCTTCACCTGTTTTACTACAGTAACAATAATATATTGTGCCAAATATTGCTGTTCAATATATTGAAATACAATGTTTATATCTTGCAGATATTCACAGGGGTCTCATGCCAGTGACTTCTGCGCCGGTCCCAAGCCCGGATAAATAGAGGGTTGTGTCAGGAAGGACATCCGGTGTAAAAACGTGCCAAATTTACTCATGCGAATCGCGAATCATATTCACTGTGGTGACCCCTAATTCATGCATAATAGTTTTTTGTGTGATTTAGTGTTTGCAGCAAACTCAAAATGTTTAAATAAATTGTTTTGTAGTGCAAAGTTGACAAGAGTTGTAGCAGTAGACATAAAGGTGCAGTTACAATATGATCCTTGGTTAAAATGGAATGTGGCACAGTTGGACATATGGTAAAAACTGGTTAAATAAACTCACCTTCCTCTGCAGAGTGGACTACAGCAATCTGGCTGAAAGGTCCTTCTCCTCTGTGGTTATAAGCTTTGATTTTCACCTCAAAGGGACTGTATGGTGCCAGGCTGTTGTTGTAGTAAACATAACGAGATGACTCCACATGAGGAATGCGTACCACTTTCCATGATGATGTGCCTTTCTTCCTGAATGCCAGGATATAGCCAAAGCCGTCCCCATTCTGGTACTCTCTGGCCATGGGCTGGGAGGATTTAGGAGAAAACTAAGATGTTAAACCTCTAAAAAGACAAATGGGCCTGTTTCCACTGTTCTAACAGACATCTGGCATAACCTTGCACTGTGTGTAAGCTAGTATTACTCATGTTGTGGGCACATAAATCTGTTTACATTGTCAGACTGTGGCGATTCAACTTCTTCTTGGGGACAAAAAGCAAGTGTCCAAAAAGTAAATTTTTTACATCTAAACTTGGTTTAGGGTTAAGGTTAGGGTATATCTCCAGGAAATGCAAGTGTACATTAATGTGAGTGATAGTAACATGCATATTTATACAGTGCCTAGCGAAAGTATTCGGCCCCCTTGAACTTTGCAACCTTTTGCCACATTTCAGGCTTCAAACATAAAGATATAAAACTGTAATTTTTTGTGAAGAATCAACAACAAGTGGGACACAATCATGAAGTGGAACAAAATTTATTGGATATTTCAAACTTTTTTAACAAATAAAAAACTGAAAAATTGGGCGTGCAAAATTATTCAGCCCCCTTAAGTTAATACTTGGTAGCGCCACCTTTTGCTGCGATTACAGCTGTAAGGCGCTTGGGGTATGTCTCTATCAGTTTTGCACATCGAGAGACTGAAATTTTTGCCCATGCCTCCTTGCAAAACAGCTCGAGCTCAGTGAGGTTGGATGGAGAGCATTTGTGAACAGCAGTTTTCAGTTCTTTCCACAGATTCTCGATTGGATTCAGGTCTGGACTTTGACTTGGCCATTCTAACACCTGGATATGTTTATTTGTGAACCATTCCATTGTAGATTTGGCTTTATGTTTTGGATCATTGTCTTGTTGGAAGACAAATCTCCATCCCAGTCTCAGGTCTTTTGCAGACTCCATCAGGTTTCCTTCCAGAATGGTCCTGTATTTGGCTCCATCCATCTTCCCATCAATTTTAACCATCTTCCCTGTCCCTGCTGAAGAAAAGCAGGCCCAAACCACGATGCTGCCACCACCATGTTTGACAATGGGGATGGTGTGTTCAGGGTGATGAGCTGTGTTGCTTTTACGCCAAACATAACGTTTTGCATTGTTGCCAAAAAGTTCGATGTTGGTTTCATCTGACCAGAGCACCTTCTTCCACATGTTTGGTGTGTCTCCCAGGTGGCTTGTGGCAAACTTTAAACGACACTTTTTATGGATATCTTTAAGAAATGGCTTTCTTCTTGCCACTCTTCCATAAAGGCCAGATTTGTGCAGTATACGACTGATTGTTGTCCTATGGACAGAGTCTCCCACCTCAGCTGTAGATCTCTGCAGTTCATCCAGAGTGATCATGGGCCTCTTGGCTGCATCTCTGATCAGTCTTCTCCTTGTATGAGCTGAAAGTTTAGAGGGACGGCCAGGTCTTGGTAGATTTGCAGTGGTCTGATACTCCTTCCATTTCAATATTATCACTTGCACAGTGCTCCTTGGGATGTTTAAAGCTTGGGAAATCTTTTTGTATCCAAATCCGGCTTTAAACTTCTCCACAACAGTATCTCGGACCTGCCTGGTGTGTTCCTTGTTCTTCATGATGCTCTCTGCGCTTTAAACAGACCTCTGAGACTATCACAGTGCAGGTGCATTTATACAGAGACTTGATTACACACAGGTGGATTCTATTTATCATCATTAGTCATTTAGGTCAACATTGGATCATTCAGAGATCCTCACTGAACTTCTGGAGAGAGTTTGCTGCACTGAAAGTAAAGGGGCTGAATAATTGTGGGAAGACTCAGTGCTATGTAATTAATAATGGAGAACCACAGTATATGACTAAGTGGGACTAACTTCATCAAGAATTAGCTTGTTCTCTCACAGACTTTTTGAGCTCACAACCCTACACATCAGTGACGTGCGGTCAGGGGAGGCAGGTGAGGCAGAGCCTCCCCTGTCAATCTTGAAAAGAAAAAAGGTTAACCATAAAACATAATAAATGTAAATATTTGTCGGCTGATGTGTGTTGTAGGCCCTTTTGCCGTTCGAATCCGATGTTGAAGTATTTTTTTTCAATAAAGAATAGCAGAATTTCTGTATGTCCCTTTCAAATACATGGAGGAGATGCGCGATGAGGCAGCACTTTGCTGTGCCTCTCGGTGGATCGTGTAATCCTCACAAACTGTATGCAATGCAAATAGTGTGTCGCTGTCCGTCTATATGTCGCAAATAGAGGTCCTCTGCAGAGGGCGCTAGTGAGCCCACAGATTCTTGCGCTACCTACAATCTTCTTCGTGCTTGTTTATATTTTCTTTACAATCCGCCTTATCAAAATGAAAGATTACATTTCCAAGCTGAGAAAATTCGCAAATGTGGACTTTCAATCAAAACATTTTTGACAGTCTGGACATTTTTGTCTAGAAGGATCTTCTTTATTGAAAATATTTGTTTTAATATTGGATTCGAACGGTAAAAGGGTTTGTAATACATACCAGCTGACAAATGGATTTCGTGTACAAGTAAAGGTAAGACCATAAACTTTTATTATTTCTAGTTAGAAATAAGCTCAATTGGAATAAATTTTAACCTCAAATTAAATATGGGTCACGTTTGTGTGAAGAATGCTGATATGAGATATAAAACATAACACATTGTCTGTTAACAGACAATTTGTTAACGGTTCATTTGTATTTGTAAATCTGACTAAAAGAGTCAGTGCCTCACCAGCTGTCAACCTCACCACACGTCACTGCTACACATCCATCAATGACAATACAGTATATGTAGAGCATCTGTCTAGAGACTGCTAAAAGTATTATTTAAAAAAAAAAAACATTGTGGTAGCAAAGTTTAACACTAACTTACTATAATAGCATGAACATTTTACATCTAGAATCTGTTTGGATTAAGACAGATTTTCACATTTTAACTGAGTTTATAAAGTTTAAAAGTCTTGGTTATTTAACACAGAGGAAGAGTCTACTCAAAGATGCTATCAAGTTGCATTATGAGAAGTGAAGGATCCAGGGATTATGGAGTTTGATCCATATTATGAACCTTAGTCCCTCGGCTTCTGCTGCTTCAGGTTTGACCTTTTTAAATCTGTCTCTTACAAAACTGTCACCTTTATGGAAGTGTGACTCTAATCGCTGTAGTGACACTTTAACTAAATTAGCAATAAATTAACACTTTATAACATTATAGATGAGAATGACAAGGGAAGCCTGCAACCACCACAAGACAGACAAGAAAGAAAGCCCATATAAATCTGAAGTTAGATACTGGTAAGTACTGACATTCAAACTGCTTTTTACTCTAAGCACTCTGAGTCATCCATTTACCGTCCAGGTAATAATGAGTTCATTGTGGTCTCCTCCTCCTCCTCCAAGTCCACTGGGGGCAACTGTAGGAGCTGAAAACAAATATACGCACACATGATGATATGCATGATATAATCCACGTAAGTAGGTCAGTCAATATTCAGTAGAATAGGTGAAAAGTGCTGGCCAGAACTATACAACATTATCTGACAAAACATAGTAACATTAACTCAAATGATACTATTCACAGTGTGAACTTTGAATTTAACAAACTCAAATGTCCAGAGCTGGAAACCAACTTACCTATACTTCTACAGGCCACTTTGTGTTTAGATTCACTTTTAGTCAGACTTTGGGCAATGAGGCCTTTCTCCATATAATGATTTCTCTTTTCATCCAGCCGCTCTGCTCCACTACATTCCCCGTCTGAACAAAGCTGACTGTAAGGTGGTTACTTGAGAGCCCATGGCACTCACATCTCTTTTCTAAATTGGCATTACTTGGATAAACTGACCACATATTCTCAATATGAGTGGTTAGTTTGTTGCTTGAACAAAGTGCAAAAACCTACTAAGATGGCACAATGTCCTAGAATGAAAATGATAACAGCCTTGAGCCTGGCTCAAAATCTCTGCCATCAGGTGCTCGCCCAGCTGTCGCTGCATAGAGTCAGTCTTTTCCCAACTGTGGGCTGTCACCTCATTGGACTCCCTCAGTCTCTGTCTCCCACAGTGAATGAGCAGCTGTCACTAACCCAGGGATCTGGGGTGCTCAGCAGCACAGCTGTACACTCTGGCCACAAGGAGGCTCACATACAGTCAGTCAGCAGCTTTACCAGCACTCACAATAGTTAATAATAATTTTTAAAATTACGGTATCCACATCATGATACAGAGCAACACTAAAATCTAATCAATTGTTCTGTGGACCATGCACTGCCTCTCCAAAACATTTAATCAAAATCCATTGATTACTTTTTGAGTTATGCTGTTAACAAACAAACCAAGAAATGCAAGCAAAAACACAACCCTGCTCTTTGTGAAGGTAAAAAAAGAAAAAAGAAACCTCTGGTCACGTTGTGTCAATTTTGATCACTGTTTTTTATTTTTATTGTCCACTGTAAGCCTGACAATGGCAATGCTCCATGCTCAATCTCTTTTAAGATCTTAAAAAAGTCAGACTACCCATGTTCTGCCAGCTAAAAGGACAAAATCCACAGACAATATTTTAACAGAAAAATATACAATATTGCCACATTTTATTTTGATGTATATTCAGCCATTTTGTGATGATACTGATGTTTCTAATCTACCCTGCTCTAAAGAATAACCTTCTTTTCATTATGCTTAGTGAAGAAGGCTAAGCACAGCCACTACATCAATGCTCCTGAGCTGCTTTAGCATGTGATTCTTTTCCAGATACATATGGACCAAACATGTTGTATCTTTATACAACATGTTTATGTATCAAAACCATAGTGCTGACTACCAGGGTGCCATGATTCTGTCCCGCCTGCTTCTGGTCTTATGCTTTTATTTTGACACTACTTCCTGTTGCAGCTCACCCTGACTCCCGGGAACTTTATCTCATCACCCACATTGGTTTCACCTGCTTCTCATTACTCACACCTGGTTACAACAGCATATAGGCAGCTTCCCCCTACCAAGAAGCTGCCAGATTGTTCTAACTCCTGTTCAGACTTTCCAGCATTTTTCCTGTACCTGTGATTCTAGCTCTGACTAGTGATGTCCAATTGACACCATGACACCTGTATCGAACCACTTCATCATTTGTATCGAGTATTGGTTCATTCATTCAAAGGTTCGGTTTAGTGCCATCTGGTGGTGAAATAGTATGCAGCAGAACAATGTCTGAATTATGTGATGGGTGTAACTAGGTTTTGTGTGAATGATGTGAAAACGTTTGTAAAGATTGATTGGTCAGTTGGTCGGGTCTATGAACATATGTAGTGTAGTAGGTGGGAGAGGGCATGCTTGGGGAAACAGAGGATGTGATAGCTGGTAATATGTGCGTATGTAACTAGGACAGCGTGTGAATAAATACAAGGGTTGGAGAATCAATCATTTTTATTCAAAAACAAAGTTTCTCCACTGTCTTTGGACCGATCAGATGAAAGTGTTCCCACATTGGAGAACAGGGTCTCTCCCTAGTTGGCTCCATGGTGATCACACACCAGCAGCAATGATCATACAGCCAGCACCTACGCACACACCTGCTACACCGACAAACCCACATGTTGTGCATCATCTTGGGTGGCTTTATAGTATCCCTACGCCTACGCACCTGTTGACGCGCGCAGCGAGATCTCGCGTCGTAACACCATAGTTGATGGCTTGAACTGGTCATGGGAGTCACTCAGGCCAGCCATTTCTGTGTCGGACGTCATCAGTCACATGTCTTTTCGGCAACAATACAACCTCGAAGCAGTGGTTCGCGGAAGATCCCTCTCCAAGTTCAAATCATGTATCGAGGCCTCGGTGTCAGATGGCCATCACTAGCTCTGACCCCGGATTACTTTGTGACCACGAGTATTGCCTAGCCCTCCTGATTTCAGATTGTGTTTTCTGTGTATCGACTTTGGACTTCCTTTTTTTGACCGTGCTTTCGTGGAAACCTTGTCTGTGTAAGTTTGCTGGATCTGTCCCTGGACTGTATTATCGACCTGAGAGTGTTACATGCTTAATCTGAATCCTGCTTTGTGTTATCCATGTGTTTTGTTGTCAGTGCTCTTATTAAAGAGACAGTGTTTTACTTTCACTCATCTGGTTCTATAATTGAGTTCACCCTTGCTTATCGGCAGCGTTGCATGCCGAGTCTGACACAGTGACCATTTGCCATTGGCTTTGAACGTGTGTGTGTGTAGCATACTGGATGCCACATGTGGGCCCTCACCTGCTTGCTGTGTGCGGATGGTATGTGAGGGCATGCTGGGCTCTCCACTGCCCAGAATGTTGCTGGCGATGACCTGGAATTCATAATCCATCCAGGGCATCAGTCCCATCACACGAGTTGACTCTGCATTCCCTTCAATGTTGTCTGGGTCTGGTGTACAGTGAGGCAATGTTGATTTGTGTAGTAAGGTATATGGTTCATCAATATCAAACTCAGTCTGTTCAGTTTAGTCTCTAAACCATCACAAATAATGATGTATGCTCCTCACAAAGTGACATTTTCAAAGTACTTCTTTAGTCTGACTAGCTTCTTATATTTTATCACTGGTAAATATTAGCTCTTAATATTACGAATGAGTTACATGATATGTGTTGCTGATTAATTTAAATTTTTTTTCAGTTCTGCACACACATGCAAGCGTACACACTTGTCCTCATCTTTTTCCACTCTGATGACAATGCTGATCGCCCCATGATGATGTATTTGCCAATGGGACTGTGGTTATCATAGCCACGACTCCATCTGAGCTCTACTGATGTCTCAGCAACGTTCCTTACCAGTAGACCTCCAGGAGGTCCCGGGGGGCCTGGAAACAAAATGTGTTTGCAAGAAGTAATAAAAACACATCACAGTTTAGTCTGTATCTACTAACTAAAGTAACAGCACTTTGATCATTTAGCAGTGAGCACCAAGAGCTGTGGAAACAGTACAATCCATACAGGTTGTAAGTTTTATTGTATTCTTTTTTTTTAACAAGTTTTCTTAACAAGTTACTTTGCAGATTTTCATGCAGATTTCCAAGCAAACAGAAAAATCATGATATGTCCTGACACATCTACCTACTTAAATATGCTCTATTGCCAAAGTTCAAACCTAGAATATAGTTTTATTGGCCACTTGGAAAAAAATGTGAAAATGAAACCAATGTATCACCTTAATGTAGCTATTTTGTTAAACATTGGGAGATACAGAGCTACATCATCATTCATTTGCTGTTTGCTCTGCTGTTTGCTGCTGAGCAGATTGTGCAAAGTTAGCACTTTTACTCCGCAAACAAAATAAGTAGTTTGATTTTAGTACAGACCACATTTTGCCATCATATCTTGCTCCTTTATGATTTTAAGCGTTTAAATGATCAGACTGTCCCATGTCCCATCTGGTCTGCGTTCACATTTGCCTCTGTTTATAATCTATTTTGCAGGATTGTGTGGCTGAATTTGATGCTGATTGAGCCTTTTCTTCTTGTGTTTCTATAATAGCAAATGTAGTAATGAGAATGAAGAATAAGAATGACATGAGAAGCAAACTGACTCATCTTACCTCGAACAACTAGTTTAGCTGAAGCTGAGGCGCTGTCCACCACAGTCTGAGCTGTGCAAGTGTATATCCCTGCCTGACTCAGCTGAGCATTCACAATCAACAGATCGCCTGTGTTTTCCTTCTGAAAGGATATAGGCAGAGTGATGAAGTGACATGTCCATAAGTTAAACAGTCAAGGTAAATCAGGATATAGAGGAAAAAATATGAATGTTTCCTTTTCACCTCACATTTTATAGGTTTCATCAAAATGGATTTTTAATACACTGAACAACAACTCTATGCTGCAGCAGAACTTTATAGTGCTGGGGTGCAGATTACAGGAGCTAATTTTCAGCTAGCCTTTTCATGCATAGTGGTCTCTACAGTGGACAGCTGTTTAAAAACTGTTTTCTTGTATGTGCATGGGTTCTGATTGTGTAGTTGCATATCACCCACTACAGTGGATGCTAATGTGTCATCCCATTCTCTACCACCCACTGGTCAGCCATTGTTAAGTGTAATAATAATTTCTTAGAAACAAGATGACTGACGGAAGGCCAGAAAAGCTGAGTAGCTTAGAAATATCTTTCCAATTCTTCTATAGGAGGAGACCCTTGGAAGTAAAGAAAAAAAGGTAATATGAAGTAACACCTAAAGAAAAATACTGTTGGGAGGTAATTCCGATTAATCAGCCATCCACTAAATTGTGAAAATTCATGTAAAAATGTAAGTTAAGTATTTTCTTTTCATGCCAAAAGAATAATAAAAACACTGAGGAAAGAAATCCGGACTATGTGTCTCATTATTTTTGCATGAATGGGCTAGACCCACAATCAGCTACTACTGTATCAGGCTCTTATGACAGACATTCATTAAACATTTAGACATAAAGAAGCATGGACATGAAATAGATAGTTAATCTCATTTAAGAGCTTGTTTCTCCCACAGGCCTGTGCTCAGGTGCTGTGAAATGTTGCCACTATGAAATGAAGTAATTACAGCTGGAGAATATCTTGCCTATATTATTTTGCCTATACTGCTGCTATACTTTTGAATTGCTGTTTAAGAAAAAGCTGGGGGCTCTGTACCCACCACTCATCCAGTGCTGGGATTGGTCTATAAAATGTACCCAAGGTGATGTCTCCAAATAGCTTGTTTTGTCCAAACTGTTGAAAAACCCCCACAGTGTTTATTTTCTTCCATAACGCCAGATAGAAAACCTTTGATCAAAGAACCAGCAAGGTTTTCACAGTCCTTTTGTAAGAATTATGAACATTAACAACACCCCAAATTGCTAATGGTCACTCAAGGTCTTATTTGTTGTTTAATGTAAAGACTGGATGGAGCTAATGAGCAGATATCATAGCCTCAGGTATCAATGATGAAAAGCACCAAATCACCCACCCACTAATTTAACAGACACACTGCAATGTTTTACTTTTATGCAGCACAATCATTCTGCAGGATCTTCCAGTCCTACAAACAAACTATATCGTCCCAACCACCAACCATCACAGGACTCACTCCTTCCATCCGGTGATATAGGCCAGCAGAGGCTTCCAGGTCCAGCAGGACCCCATTGAGGGCCCAGGTGAAGGTCAGGTCCATGGTGGGGTCATGTGAGGCGTGGCACTGCAGTGTTACATTCTCCCCCTGATTGATGTCAGCATTAGATGGTGCCAGCGTGATTTTAGTGGCATCTGCAAGAACAAAAATGGTTCAGATGAAAGCTACCAAGGGCTGAATAAATATCTCAGGATACCAAGCTAAAAAATAATTCTTAGTCACTGTCAAGACAGGCCTTACACTTAGAGACAAACAACCCCACACAGCCACACTCACTCCTATGGGCAATTTAAAGTCACCAGTCACAGTCTTTGGACTGTGGGAGGTAGCCAGAGTACATGGAGAGAACCCACACAGGGAGGGAGAACATGCAGACTCCGCACAGAAAGGCCCTGGATCGGCTGGGGCTCAAACCCGGAGCCTTCTTTCTGTGAGGTGACAGTGCTAACCACTGTCACCATGCCACCCTAGGTCATTAACAGGGGGAAATAAACACCGCAACTGTATGTTTCTGACAGTATAGTAATGGTTTCTGGTGATTTAGGTTTTCCAGCTGGCCCCCTTTTGAAGTCAGAATATCCAAAATTTACCAAAGTAAAGCTGAAATGGAAAACCCATACAGCCACCACAGGTGACTGTGTCATCTCTAGCTGTAATATTATTGTGCTATTGTAGACTTTTTGAAGTCTGCTGACATTGGTTGTTTTGTTTCAGTGAATGTGTATGTGGAATGTGTGTGTGTATACCTCTGACAGACAGGTGCCCAGTGCTGTTCGCTTTGCCCAGGTAGTTTTCAGCAAAACAGGTGTATTTCCCTTCATCTGCCCTGCTGATATTGTGAATCCACAGGATTCCGTCTGGAGTTACTGTGACTCTGAGAAGACATGAGCATACAGAGGGTGAAGGGCGCCTATAGCTGGCTGAGGACAGTACTGCTTTTAATTTAATGCACTGCACGGGGTTGAAGTAAACATAACTCTCAAGTAAGGTAGTTCAACATAATATCACAAAGTAGTCAGTGTTGACATATTCATGCCAAAACATCAACTATTTTAGCCATTACAGAGAGAAGATGTGTGAAAGTGCTACTTTGTTGGGTTATTTTGTATTGTGCTAATGTTCCTGTTGTGTGTGCTTCTGCTGTACATCGACTCTCACTTTATGAAGCACAATTTCAAGGTATATATAGCCCCTGCATATTTTAACTTTTATACAGTACATCCATTCCAGCTGCATCCTGCTCGGGATTTATTCCACTTCACGCTGGAAGGTGAACATTACTTATTCACTGTCCCACCCAGATTTTCTCAGTTGGTATGCCGATTTCAGCCACAAGCTCTGTCATTTTCATGCTGCTGCTGTAGTAATATTCATTTTAAATGAAATCAGTGTAAATCTTAAAGAAAATTTCAGTTTATTTAGATCTTACTGTAGTTTTGTTCCTTTAACTATCACTCAGTAATGTTACCCTGTATATCTAACTTCCCAAATTAATTCTTGCAATCTGGGAATGTGTCAAAGCTACTAGACACAGGTTTACAAGGAGTGGCCAGGACAAATCCACAGTTTGTCTTTTTAAATTAATTATTTGGAAATAATGAAGTAAAACATCCAGGTTACTGCCTAAACCTGACTGTGCCCAGTAGATGTCCTTTCAGAGCTGCTTACTCAGTCACCTTCGATCTAAGATACTCACATTTATATTAGTATGTGACCTTGTCACTACCTGCAGCATATACATTTAATGTACTTAAGAGTACACAGAGAGACACTGGGGAGTGATGCTAACAATCTCACCCACTCACTGAAACTCTTATTGTTGCACCTGTTAACAAGTTCGCAGTAATTAAACAACACCTTGGTTTGCTGGGCTCCTCCGTCCAGTTGAGCCTGAGAAACCTTGGTGTTGTGTTGGACCAGGCTATGTCTCTTGATTGTCATATAAGAGCATTAGTCAGGAACTGCTTTTATCATTTGAGAGATATTTCTAAATTAAGGAAGATTTTATCAAAGGCCGATCTTGAAATGATTGTTCATGCTTTTATTTCTTCGCGTATTGATTATTATAACTCTCTTTTTACTTGTTGTAATAAGTCTACTTTAAACCGACTTCAGATTGTCCAGAATGCTGCTGCGAGGCTCCTCACAGGAACCTCTAGATCAGCTCATATCACTCCGGTTTTGTACTCACTTCACTGGCTACCAGTTAAGGTCAGAGTTGATTTTAAAATTTTAGTGCTGACATTTAGAGCACTACATGGGCAGGTCTCCCAGTATATTTCTGATTTGTTGGTTCCATATTCTCACAAATGTACTCTTCGTTCCTCAAATCAGCCCCTTTTGTTGGTCCCAAAAACTCGCTTTAAATCTCGGGAGGACCTGTCTTTTAAGGTGGTTGCTCCAAGATTATGGAATGTCTTGTCTTTATGTATGGCCAAATCTGTTGAGGGTTTTAAAAAGCAGCTGAAGACACATTTATTTAGAGTTTTTTAATTGATTGGGTTTACAGATTTTTATGAACTGTTTTTATTCTGTTATTTGAATTGCTTTTAGGTTTTATGTATATTATTTGTGTTTATTATTATTACTATTCTGTGATGTTGTGAAGCACTTTGTGATTCTGTCTGTGAAAAGTGCTATATAAATAAAGTTTACTACTTACTTACTTACTTACCCCGCATAAGAGCCTACAGGTGAGTGCTGGGTGGAGGTGGGACTGAAGGTGTCAAAACAATGATAAAGCAATTAAATAAATTTAAAAAAGGTCAAATGTACACACACAGTCATACTGTTTCTGCTAAACGATGAATGATAACTGTTATGGCTGCAGATCGGTGCACTCCCAGCACCTCATCTGCCAGCACTGGGACCATCAACAACTTCACCCCTGCAGGTGCTAGAGTGCACTCCTGATGGCGAGGCACACCTGCTCCTAATCAGCGGAGCATTACTTAAGGGGAGCGTTGGTGTGATGGTCGCCAGATGGTCTCTTGATGTCCAGCAAGTATTCCGTAAGCTTCTGATCTGACGAACCTGTGCTTCTTTTCTTGCCTTGGTGATCCCAGTATTGTTTCGTGCGTTTTTTCTGAACTGTGAGCTGAACTATGAACTGAACTGTAAATTGAACTATTTGCTTTCTGCCTGAGGAAATCCCCTTGAGCATTTTTTGTACAGTATGACCTATTGTTTCTGGGGAACTGAATCTTGTCTCTGCTTTTACTGAATCCTGCTGTCTTTACAACAGTTTGAGTTTTCACTGGTTGTTTTTTAGTTTCCTCTGAGCCTGTGTGTATACTGCTGTCTCCTCGCCAGTTCGAGTTTCTTCCTGGTAGATTTAAGTTATCGTTGAACCTGAGAGAAGATTACTCTCGCAGACTGTCCCATTACTGGACAAGGTTCCTCCAGACCCTGACCCAGTTTCCTACAGGATTCTTCTGGGTCTCTGGTGTTTTTGCTTGTTCTTCGTCTTACTTACTAGGGTGTTGAGCTGTACGAATATCCCACACTGGGGATCCTCGGCTGGGCTGCAGCTGAACCCCTTTTGGTGAACCACAACCTCCTTTGCCAGCAGATTCACGCACTGGCCAGCGGGCACCTCATCACCTCCTACCTCCCTGCAGAGCATGGATCGCCATTCGGGCTCCCGCCCGACAAACCCTCATTCATCATATCCAGGGTCTTGTCATTATTCCCACATAGATTCACTGCGGATCTGCTTATTCTTCTCACTCTCCTCCTCTGCTCCCAATTTAGTGGTTGCCTCTATCGCCATCTACCCTGGTTGCTCATCTAGCAGTCCAGTCGCCCGTGACCAGCTGAAACACTCCATCTCATATTGTCACCACTACTGAATAAAAGACATTTTATCTTGAGCCTTGATCAGAGTCCCACATTTACTGAGTCTTCGGTTACTATTTCTGATAGTTCGCCGTAACAGATAACATGTTTTGATCTCAGAAATTAAAACTAGCTCACAACTCCCTGTCACCAGTACACTCAAATTGTCCAGTCTTATACACATGTGGAATTTGGCTGGACAGCTGTCTGACGTTTAAACAACTGGCAAAGTGGGTTTCTTGTATAGGAATAACACAGGTTTGTGTCTTAAGGACAGAAAAATGACTGTACAGTAAACTATTCTGTCTGGAGATCTCCTTTATTCTATGCTACTCGTTCTAAGTTATAATAGCTAGATGTATTTTATCATTTGGATATACATTTTATTACAGGAGACTCATCATTGTGTACTACTGTATCTTAATAAAGTGGCCTCAGCATATCATTTCCCTTCTCACATTATAAACCGCTGCTCACTAGAGCAGATCTCAGGCCTGTTTAACTGTAACTACCTTTCGGGTAAACAACTTAGGAAGACTACTATTATACCCTATAGAGTGTTTGAATTACAGTTGAGCTTGTCTGATATCTGTTACTGTTTCTGATGTTACATGTCTTTTTGTTTTTAAAGTTATGGTTATGTATTAAAAGCTATAGGATAGCAGATTCGGAATAATAGTGCAATATGAGTGTTATATATTCCCTACTATATGCACTATTACATTCTCACTAATGCATTCTGTGAGAGGGGTGGCAGGATTATGGTAGAAATACAAATAATGCAGCTGCTTCTGCAGAGGACAGGAGGCTTCAATGAATGATTTGACGTGAATGACTATCACTGATACCAGATCTCATCCAAGCTAAGGGACATTCTGAAATGATGTGTTAGACAATACTCCACTGCCACCACCAAAACACCAAATGAGGAAATGTGTTTTAGAAGAAGGCTGTTCATCCCTCTGGACAAGTTCCACACATATGGAAAATCTATAACAAGGAGCGCTGCAGCCGTTCTGGAGGCAAGTGGTGGCCTAACACATTGCTTGTTCTAAAGGGACGGGAATTATAAAGTAACAGACTCAGGCTGAATAAAAACACAAGTCGAATATGGCTGAGGACATGTGGCCTCCCAAATGTTAAGTTATCTGATATCTCATATTCACAAATACTGTGGAAATGTTTTACTTACATACTGCCTGTACAGACTGACATAAATCCATTCTGAGCACAATGGCGGTGCACACTGTTGCAGTGGCTCCGTGCTCATTCAGTCGTTGTTTTGTTTGGTGGTTTGTGTACGTGTTGTTTCCATACTGTGTACATTTTGCTGGGCGAACCACATCTACAGTGCCTTGCGAAAGTATTCGGCCCCCTTGAACTTTGCGACCTTTTGCCACATTTCAGGCTTCAAACATAAAGATATAAAACTGTAATTTTTTGTGAAGAATCAACAACAAGTGGGACACAACCATGAAGTGGAACGAAATTTATTGGATATGTCAAACTTTTTTAACAAATAAAAAAACTGAAAAATTGGGCGTGCAAAATTATTCAGCCCCCTTAAGTTAATACTTTGTAGCGCCACCTTTTGCTGCGATTACAGCTGTAAGTCGCTTGGGGTATGTCTCTAACAGTTTTGCACATCAAGAGACTGAAATTTTTGCCCATTCCGCCTTGCAAAACAGCTCGAGCTCAGTGAGATTGGATGGAGAGCGTTTGTGAACAGCAGTTTTCAGTTCTTTCCACAGATTCTCGATTGGATTCAGGTCTGGACTTTGACTTGGCCATTCTAACACCTGGATATGTTTATTTGTGAACCATTCCATTGTAGATTTTGCTTTATGTTTTGGATCATTGTCTTGTTGGAAGACAAATCTCCGTCCCAGTCTCAGGTCTTTTGCAGACTCCATCAGGTTTCCTTCCAGAATGGTCCTGTATTTGGCTCCATCCATCTTCCCATCAATTTTAACCATCTTCCCGGTCCCTGCTGAAGAAAAGCAGGCCCAAACCATGATGCTGCCACCACCATGTTTGACAGTGGGGATGGTGTGTTCAGGGTGATGAGCTGTGTTGCTTTTACGCCAAACATAACGTTTTGCATTGTTGCCAAAAAGTTCGATTTTGGTTTCATCTGACCAGAGCACCTTCTTCCACATGTTTGGTGTGTCTCCCAGGTGGCTTGTGGCAAACTTTAAACGACACTTTTTATGGATATCTTTAAGAAATGGCTTTCTTCTTGCCACTCTTCCATAAAGGCCAGATTTGTGCAGTATACGACTGATTGTTGTCCTATGGACAGAGTCTCCCACCTCAGCTGTAGATCTCTGCAGTTCATCCAGAGTGATCATGGGCCTCTTGGCTGCATCTCTGATCAGTCTTCTCCTTGTATGAGCTGAAAGTTTAGAGGGACGGCCAGGTCTTGGTAGATTTGCAGTGGTCTGATACTCCTTCCATTTCAATATTATCACTTGCACAGTGCTCCTTGGGATGTTTAAAGCTTGGGAAATCTTTTTGTATCCAAATCCGGCTTTAAACTTCTCCACAACAGTATCTCGGACCTGCCTGGTGTGTTCCTTGTTCTTCATGATGCTCTCTGCGCTTTAAACAGACCTCTGAGACTATCACAGTGCAGGTGCATTTATACGGAGACTTGATTACACACAGGTGGATTCTATTTATCATCATTAGTCATTTAGGTCAACATTGGATCATTCAGAGATCCTCACTGAACTTCTGGAGAGAGTTTGCTGCACTGAAAGTAAAGGGGCTGAATAATTTTGCACGCCCAATTATTCAGTTTTTTATTTGTTAAAAAAGTTTGAAATATCCAATAAATTTCGTTCCACTTCATGATTGTGCATGATCACCTGAAGATAGAAGCTCGCTACGAGCAGAGAGGTACAGCTGAGTTTCTCCGCTCGCACAGGATACCAGCGGGCATAGCGAGGAGCCCCAGTTCTCCATGGATTACCATCCCCACGGAAAGGACACAAAGGCACCGCAGGAAGGAGAGGAAGCAGAAGCGAGGCTGCAGGGCCGGAGCGTTAGCTAGGCTACGGAGGCAGCCACATAGACCCAGCCTTTTTCTGACAAACGCCAGAGCACTCGTTAGTAAGATGGATGATTTGAGGCTATAGGTTGCGGCCTATATTCGCAATGGCAGCATCACCAGGGCCCTTGAAGGACTGACAGCCCTATCTGAGGAGCTAGCTGAGAATTCTGGCATCGACAACCCCTTTACCAGCTTCTTGGAACCCTGGTTCGGAAAATGGAGCGGCCTGATCGCTTCTGAGTTGATTTCTCTGTCTGTGGCTGGGGGCCCCCCGCTGGGGGGGGGGGGGGGGGTGTTTATTCCCTGTCTGCGGGGAATGATGCAAAGACTGATAGACACTGCTCTGACTAAGACAATGTACCAACAGGTCTGTGACAAGGAAGGAGAAGAAGAAGAAGAAGAAGAAGAAGAAGAGCATCACCACGAACTGGACGATTGGGTTTGAAAAGAGACTTTCCTGATCGTGATCTGAGTGAACCATGTATGATTTGTTTTAATGATAACCTGAAAGGGAGTGTTTAAGCAATGAGATCCTGGGATGAACAAGATTAAGATAACGAGAGGAGACACATTGGACATTGTGTATACCACATGCAAGGGAGCATACAAAGCCTCCCCCTCCCCCACCTGGGTATCTCTGATCACATCGCCATCATGCTGAGACCTGCATACAGACCCAGAGTGAGAACCATCAGACCAACACAAAAGGAGGTACGTGTGTGGCCGGAGAGGGCTTCTTATGCTCTGAAGGACTGTTTTGACACTACAGACTGGGACATTTTCAAACAAGCATCCACTCACAACAATCACATAGACATAGAGGAATACACTGAGGCCGTCACAGCATACATCACAAATTGAATTGATGATGTCACACACTGCAAAAATATCAGTGTCCATGCCAACCAGAAGCCATGGATGGCAGGTGAGGTTCACAGACTCCTGAGGGATCGGGATGCAGCCTTTAGGGCCGGCGACACCGCAGGCCTAGCAAAAGTAAGAGCCAACCTGTCCCGTGGAATCAGGGAGGCAAAACGCCAATACAGCAAGAAAATATCTGGACACTTCAGGAGAAATCTAAACGGTACATCCAGTTCTTATTCTATTCTATTCTATTTTTTATTCTACTTTACTCAATTTTAGCTCCTAAATGTTATGGCACCCAATACTAGGTGGGAGAGAAATGGTATTTCCTTAAGTTTGCTGATGATACGACTGTCATTGGTCTCATCCAAGACAGTGACATTTGAGACAGCCTACAGACGGGAGGTTGAGCAGCTGGTCCTGTGGTGTAGCCACAACAACCTGGAGCTGAACACACTCAAAACAGTGGAGATGACAGTGGACTTCAGGAAGAACCCCCCGACCTTAACTCCCCTCACAATATTTGGCAGCACTGTATCAGCAGTAAAGTCCTTTAGGTTCCTGGGCTCCACTATCTCCCAGGACCTGAAGTGGACATCCCACCTCAGGACCATCATCAAGAAAGCACAGAAAAGAATGTACTTTCTGCACCAGCTCAGGAAGTTCGACCTGCCCCAGGAGCTGCTGATACAGTTCTACAGAGGAATCATCGAGTCTGTTCTCTGCACCTCTATCACTGTCTGGTTTGGCTCAGCAACCAAAGCAGGACAAGTACAGACTTCAGCAGACAGTCAGGACTGCAGATAAGGTAATTGGTGCAAGCCTGCCCTCCATGGAGGACCTGTACACCTCACGGGTCAAATGGGGGGTGGAGAGGATCACTGCAGACCCCTCACACCCTGGACACAATCTGTTTGAACTCCTCCCCTCTGGACGGTGTTACAGGTCACTGTGCACCAAGACAACCAGGCACAAGGACAGTTTCTTTCCCTGGGCTGTCACTGTGATGAACACCTAACCCACAACAGTATGACTGGACAATAACCCTCAGTGCAATACGTGTAAATATACATTGTACAGATTATACAGATCCGTACAGGTCTCTATTTTTAAGTACTCTATTTTTATTCCTATTTATCTCATTTCACAATAAGCATTCCTTTGTCTGCATTGTTTACTGCCTGTTTATACTGCTTATTTTGCATTGTTTGCACTGTTTGTTGCTTGTTAATACTGCTTATTTTGTTATACTACACAGCCTTATGTTGGTTTACTGTTTACTTGCCCCTTGCATGGGGATATGTACATGCACATTGAGAGCTGATGTACCAGAGTCAGATTCCTCGTGTGTCCGACACACCTGGCCAATAAAGCAGATTCTGATTCTCATGATTTACCTTACACATAACGTGCTTGCTGCATTGTTATCTCACCTCTCTCCCTCTGCTGCACTGGTATACAGACTACAATGCAGAGCTTTTTGGCCTTGTTAAGTGGATCTGTATGTTGACATTCGGGTGACTGATACTCTGTCAGTGTTCAGCACAAACAAACTTTTCATCTGGTTTCTTGTTGGGTTGAGCTGTTGAAGCTGTTCTGCAGTGTTTTCCATTCTGGCTACTGCAGTGTCATCATAGGCTACTATACAATTTATAGCTGTGAGATTCCACTGTTAACATATTGTGCCATGGTTGTCTATTACTATAGCAACATACGCAACACTTTATTTTTCCCACAGTTATAATTAATTTATATGCATCTAACTGAAACACCCATACCGTCCTGGTGTCTAGATATTTGTGAGAAAAATCATAAAAATCAGTGGTGATTTTTAGTTTTGTTTTCACATTCCCAACATAGTGGGTCCACATCTGGGAGGACCCACTCTAGGCAACATGTTCAGATATATGTGAAAAATATACTGTGTATACCAGATTGAAGGACCCAAGACTGAGCAATTATTTTGTTTTGTTGTCGTCAGACTATTTATTTTCTTCTTACAATTGGTGAGCAGACTAAGTATTCTATATGGAAAATATTGTGGCCTCTGGAGTGGTTATAACAGTTGTCTCAGTTACTGTACTACCTGCTGCTGTTGGTGAGCAGCTCTGTCCCACGGCTCCAGAACAGGATGGGCTTAGGGGCAGCTCGGGGGCGACACTCAATCATCACCTGGCCACCTCTAGCTGCTGGAATCAGTTTTCGTACTGGGTTCAACCTGAAGTCTGGGGCCTGAACTGGAAGAGTGGGAAGCAGGATAGAGTGACATAGAATAACAGAACAGAGAGTAGAAAAAAGAGACATAGACAGGAAGAGAGACAAAGCAAAGGATGTAGAGTCAGATGAAGGGAGATTGAGGAATAGTTAAAAACAGAATGCTGTTATAGTAACAGGAGGCAAGACAACTGTGTTCTTTACAGAACACAGGTAGGTCTAAATGCTTAATAAATGTATTAGGTATAACATACTTTCAGTGTGAAGTGACATTTTAAATATGAAAAATACACCTCTTTATAGTTCAAGTTTAGTTTGTTAAATATTGTTACCTATCAAAATACTACACTAAGGTTGAAAATGTGCTTATTTGGGATCAGTAACTTTCTTTGTCCCAGTATCAAGCAAAAGAAAGCAGTAGTGAATAGAAGGCCTCCTCCTACCTTGAACTCTGAGCTCAGCAGTGGAGTAGATGGTGCCATGCTTGTTTTCAGCCACACACTGGTACATCCCAGAATCCTCCAGGGCCAGGTTACTGATCTTAAGACGTGCAACATTCACCTCCACCCTGTCCTAAGGAGGTTAAAAAGAAAGAGGCAAGGGGAGTGGAGGGAAGTAAAAATTGTTGTGTGCAATGTGAAATAAAGCATATTATTTGTATTGTACATAGCATGTGGGAAATAAGATGTTACAATACAGTAAGTCTTCTTGTGTAATACTGCATCTATTCCATTGTAGGAGGAGTGATTCTGTTCCCTAACTACTAGATTGCTGGAGTGTCTCAGAATTATTGTAATATTAAATGACTATTTAAACTGGGATGATTTGCCTGAATCAATTTAGTTCACATCAAACTCTAGCAACCACATTACCCAGTAAAAATATACACATTTAAAATCCATATGTGTTTTTCAACAAAAACAGAACTGCAAAGGTTTTATTGAGCTTACTAAAATGTTCCAAATTTATCTCATTATCCTTTGAGGATTTAACTTTTTCTTTTATAAGTTTGTCCTCAGAATGTGTCCCCATGCTGAGTTGTTAGATGAACTCCGTAAATTTGCGCCCAGACGCTAATACAACTCGTATTGATAACTACCAAATGCTCTGTGTATGTGGTGAAATACAATGGGTGACTTATAGTAAAATGTTTTTTTTATTGAAACAAAGTAACACATTAACAAAACAGTACCGTATATGGGAGGCAAGACAACAGATACATGACATTACAAAAGGATATAGCGTGTTTTACAAGATTGTAGTGTGTGAAGTGTGGGAATTTCCAACTTATGCAGTCTATGAAATGCAAAAAAGGGAAAACGAGGGAAAACAAATAAATAAATAAAAAATTACCAATAATGATCATATGTAACAGTACTACTAATTAAAGCAGCTTGTTACATTTTTAGAGGTTGGTGGGAATGTGCGTGGCCTCAGCCCCAGGTGTTTGGTTCAAGTTGAAATGTGTTAAAAATGGGTTCCATGTGTCATAAAAAAGCTGATCTATAAACTTGCGATCCATAGCAGTAGTGCTGGCGCACCAGACAGTGATGCAGCTGGTCAAGATGCTCTCAATGATGCAGCTGTAGAAGTTGCAAAGGATCCTAGGCGACATGCCAATCCTCCTCAGCCTCCTCAGGAAGTACAGCCGAGGCTGAGGTGGTTTGGCATGTCACCTAGGATCCTTTGCAACTTCTACAGCTGCATCATTGAGAGCATCTTGACCAGCTGCATCACTGTCTGGTGCGCCAGCACTACTGCTATGGATCGCAAGCGCCTGCAGAGAGTGGTAAAGACTGCGGAGAAGATCACCAGGACTCCACTGCTCTCTCTGCAGGGCATTTACCACCGCAGGGTGTGTAGGAAGGCTGCCTCCATCCTCAAAGATCCCACCCACCCCCAGCATGGACTGTTCGCCTCCCTACTCTCTGGCCGAAGGTTCAGAAGTGTGAAATGCAGGACCTCCAGACTGAAAAACTCTTTCTTTCCCTCTGTCATCAGACTCCTAAACAGCTGAGGAGTTTAATACCAGGAAATACGTCATGTACTGTCGACCTGTACTGTTTTCATTCTCAGTTTGCACATTGACTGTTGACTGCTGGACATGCTACTCCCATGCAGCATACATTCTCTTATTATATTCTTATATAGTTTTATTATACTGCTGCATTTGCTGCTTAAAGTGCCTTAGATTTTGTGTTACTTATTTATCTACTTTATATTTCATTTGTATTTTGTGGCTTTCATGTGGACGGCAAAGTAAGAATTTCACTGTACAGGGAAACATGTTTCCTAACTGTGCATATGACAAATAAACACTTTGACTTAATCAACTATTTTGCATTGTGAGCAGATGTCTGTGTCAGTGAAATTCATTTTGAATATTTTACTCTGTGTAATATGGGTCCTGTAGATGGTCTTGTATTGTATAAGTTGTAAGTTTACATTGCAAATTTCTGCCAAGATGTCAGAGCTGAGGGAGAGAGTTAAATCATTTTCCCATTTGAGGTTTGGTATCGTTATTGTTGAATCTGTATTTGATATGAGTTTATATAGCTTGGATATTGGAATCTGTAATTTTCATAATTTCTTCAATTAATTTGGAGGGTTACTGATTACACTAATCTCTGATTTATGGATTTTAATTGATTGTACTGGAGGAACCGTTCTCTCTGAAATTCGTACTTCTGGAACAGTGTATTAAATGATATCAGAATCAGAATCAGAATCTGCTTTATTGGCCAGGTGTGTCAGACACACGAGGAATTTGACTCTGGTACATCAGCTCTCAATGTGCATGTACATATCCCCTTGCAAGGGGCAAGTAAACAGTAAACCAGCATAAGGCTGTGTAATATAACAAAATAAGCAGTATTAACAGCAACAAACAGTGCAAACAATGCAAAATAAGCAGTATAAATAAACAATAAACAATGCAGAAAAACAAAGGAATGTTCATTGAAATGAGATAAATAGGTACTTAAAACTAGAGACCTGTACGAATCTGTATAATCTGTATGAGAAAATGAAAATGGTTATTTTCAAATAGGTGATGTAAGTGAGTGATTCCTTTGTGTTGCCATGTTGGGAAATAAATAGGGTTATTATGCAGTTGAAAATCAGGGTTGTGCCAAACTGGAGTGTATCTACATGACGCAAGTGATGATTTAGTGATTTTGTTTGCTTTCCATCTGTTATGGTTTAGTCCCCCTCACCAGGAGGGTGAGGGAGAACTGGGGTTGGACTCAAGATGGCTGACCCAGGTGCTAGTACAAAAAAGGAGGTTTAATGGAATAAAAACAACAAAAAAACAACATAACAGGGTCCATAATACATACAACCAGGGAAGGGCGGTGATGACTAAGGAGACCAGGACGAACAGGTAAACACACAAACTAACGGCAGGAACTAGAATAGCAGAGGATGAGAACGGAGAGGTGAACAAAAAGAACCAACGTACACAATGTAATCCACAGCACAGGGACTGTCAGCGTGGAAGACAAAAGGACATATTGCTACCCGCATAATAGCGTGATAAGGTCAAGTCAAAACGCACAGGAACTGTCAGCGTAGCATCTTAAACACGTCTAAAAATGCGAGTCAAACATAACATTTATCTTACTTTGGGTAAGTATTGTCCGTTATATGTCGCAATGATCCGGCCCAGGCGGGGCGTCTGCCCGAGGTATAAATAAGGAGGAAAACTAATCAGCGGGATGCACCCCAGCTGTGTGCACCGACAAACGAGTCGCCAATTACCGAGTGCAACACAGCTGAGGTGCAGAATCCCGCAGATCAAGAAAATAGAGGAGAAAAAGGTGGAGGAGAGGCAGCGGCCGTCGAGCGGCCCTGACACCACCAGGCTGTCAGAGTTGAGAGGACTGTGGTGTTCTTACAGTAATTCATTTTCAGAGTTTGGTAGAAAAGGAAGGTCTGCAACTGAGTTATACAAGTTATTTTTGGAGTCATTTTGCTCTAATTCTATCCATGCACTGTTGTAACTGTCCTTCTAAATCAATTTGACTAAATATTGTAGCTGATTTGCCAAGTAGTAATATTGGAAATTTGGTGCTTCTAGGCCACCTAGTGATTTCTTCTTCTGGAGGGACTGATGCCATAGATAGAAAGATTTTGGGTTTCTAATTTTTTCCAATAAAATTGTGAAGTTATAGAATCAAGTGATTCAATCCATTTATCTGTGGGTGTTGTGGAAGCATTGTAAACCGGTAGTTGATTTGAGGTAGAGTTTTCATTTTGACAGTAGCTATTTGGCCAATCAGTGAGAGAGGCAGATTGGACCAGCATTTGAAATAATCTTCTATTTTTTTTAGCAGGGCGGTGTCATTGAGATTAAAAACTTCTGACAAACTGGGGGAGATATTAATACCAAGATATTTATTGTTGCCTGTGCAGAATTAAGGGGAGGAGCATTGAACTGCAGAATCCCAGGCATCCTCAGAGTGGTAGTATGGTGGATTTATTCCAGTTTATTGTGTAGTTTGAGATCTTAGAAAATGTGTTAATAATGTGTAAAGTTTCCTGTAGAGAATTATAGGGATCCTGTAAATATAATAATAAATCATCTGCATAAAGACTAATTTTATGTTCTGAGTAAGTATCTTGTATTCCTTTAATTATATTGTTCTGTTGTATATCTGCTGCTAGAGGCTCGATGAAAATGGCAACTAGAGATGGTGAGAGTGGGCATCCTTGTCTGGTACCCTGCTGTAAAATGAAACTAGGTGACCTGATTCCATTTGTACTTATTGTTTCCCTAGGTGATGTGTTTACGCTGTTCATATCCAATGGATCAATGACTCTCCAAACCCAAATCTGTGTAATGGACAGAAGAGAAATGTCCAGTTAACTTTGTCAAATGCTTTCTCTTGATGAACAAAAGGTATAAGTGTCATAAACCATTGTTTGTCGCAGAGCTTATTTTCGCAATAATCCAAAAGCCTATGAAAAAATGCCATTGGCTTTTTGTTGAGGGAGCCAGGGCAATGCTAACTTCTAAGTTGGTCTACAAAAAACATTATCCCTATGGCACTCTATGCTGATATGTCCCCCTAAAGACGAAAATGTAAGAAAACATAACCTTTTCTGGGTTTAATGCACTGAAATAAAGGAAACACCGGGTCTTTGGATTTACACAAATTATGCTAGTATATGCAATGCAATTCATTCATATTTCCTCTGTTAACATAATTCAAACAAGTTAACCCCAGATGAAAATTATGTTGGTTTTACACATCTATTATAAATCTTTTTTTTCAGTGTGTTCTCTAATTTAAAACAAACATACCCTCTCTGTATTTCCATCACAGTGGATCCTAATCTTTTTCTGCTGGGCCTCCCTTTAATATTTTTGAAAACCACCCACCCATCCCTACTACCATATTTACCCATTGCTCATGACATGAGACAATACACGATATTAGGTTCACGAGAACAAGACAATTTTTAAGAAATCTTCAAAGATGAAATATATGATGAGAAAAATAGTCTTTTATTTGAAAGTCACAAAATGCAAAACAATACAAGTGGATTTTGAGATATTTTAACTAATTATCTTGTAATGAATGTCACTTCAGTTCTACTGTCTGAGAATGAATTATCATATGCAGTATACTAACAATATACTAGCACTGTAAAAGCTTTTGCCACCAACTCAACTGACTGGCTTCTCTCATGAGTCTCTTCAGACCTGGAAACATGAATGAAGGCACTCACGTTGACTCTTAACAATGTGGCTGTATCATACATGTGAACATATTATCATACTCCATCATACTGACCTGGTTCTGTTATGTACTGATATCACGAGACAGTTTTTGCCCAGGCGGCAACCACTGAGGCTGAGAAATAAAACCAAAGCTAATTTCCTCTTCCATAATGAGTGACAGGTGGCAAGGTCTTGCCATAGGTGGCTGGCTGCTAGATGTCTAGAGAGCTCCGCTCACGCTTCACCTCTTTACCCATTTATTGCCTAGCAGGCAGAGTGAAGCAATATGGTGATGGCCATGCTTCAAAACCGCACTCAAGAAAACCAGTGGGTGATGTCACAGCAGGTTTGTCCAGTTTTCACATACAGTCAGTGCTTTTGCCTCAATGAGAAATATCGTAACACTTTAATATCATGAGATCTCATAGCACGAGATCTCGTCACACCCCTATTACACATTAACATTGTTGGGTTCACTGACTGTAAGAGGGAGACGAAGAGGTGTTTTAAAGTGTAACGGCAAATATAAAAAATCAGCAATGTTAGGATGAGTATTTTAACTTAGATTTATGTATTGAGGTGCTGTTTATATACAAGACACTATTGTTACCTGTGTGTTGAGTGGCTGTCCATTGCGTAGCCAGTGTATGGAGGGTCGTGGTTTACCAGCAGCAACACAAGTCCAGTGCAGCTCTGAACTGATCTCCACCTCTGAGTCGTTCATCACCTGCAACCACTCTGGCTGAGCTGGAGGGTTGGGGAAAAATTTGAGGAGAAAATAATATTAAATTAACAGAAATCCATTAATGTAGTAATGTGTAAAACATTAACAGAAAAAACCTGAATAATATAAAAACTGCTTTGCTTCAATGTAAAGATAAGTTCATGAAATATCTTTTGTTTACCTTGCACATTGATGCGTCCCTGGTATGTATCACTTCCTTCTGAGTTGTAGGCTTCACACTCATAAACACCCTCATCATCAAAGAGGAGCTCTGGCAGGATGAGGATGGGACCCTCTGCAGAGGATCCTACCTTAGATGGCATCAGTCCATCCACCTTCCTCCATCGCAGTTTTGGAACTGGACTGTTGCAGAGAGGACGGATTGAAGATGGAAGTGAGGTACAAGGAGGTGGCAGTTTTAAAATGAACCAGCACAGGACCAGTGTGGCTTCAGAATTGGAAACTTACTTTCCATAGGCAAAGCACTCTAACTGGGTGGTGTGTCCTGCTAGGGCATAGGTTTCTGCTGGGAAGCGCACTTTAATGCTTGGAACTGATTTCCTGGGATTGGCTGAAACAAAATAAAACCACAAATACATCAAATCCCACTGGAACTGGATGGAACATAGGTAGTGTTATTATAAGGTACAATAAATCTAAATGTTAAACACATTCTATTTGCAAAGAGAAATTTGCCCTGCTGATGATACTAGCATGTTGTTTGCTCCAGTGCTTTGGTCTGGACCAAGATACTTTGACAACTTCTGACAAATCTGTTTAGAAATTTGGTGGATATTAATGATGTGCCATGTATCGGTACCTTGTGACCAAGTTTTCCAGCAATAGTCTCCAATTCTAATGGGCAGGCACCCATAAAATCCTTTGAGCACATGGAGTTCTCCAGATGATGAACCCTTTCTATTTTGAACTAGATGCACATCAGCTGCTACAGCTGACAGCAAGGCTCAACAATCAGCCTTCTTAATACTTGAAATGCGATTAGAAGAATATCCTTTTTAAGTCATAATGAAATGTAGAAAATTACTAAATGCAAGTCATCCAAACTGCAGATTTGAGTACATTAATACTGCTATACGTGCTTAGCAGAAATATGGAGGGTTTTCATTTGAGAGCTATCAAATGCCGGCATTCTGATTTGCTGCCCACCTCGTTCAAATAGTCAACACATTTGAACTGCTGTGTTAACAGTAGAACACTACAGTAACATTCACATTAGTTAATTCACTAACTTATTTACACGTGAAGCACTTCAAGCTACTTTACTTTATGAATTGTGCTATATAAGTAAATGATTAATTAGGTTATTGTATACAGTATTTATAAAACATATCAAGTCTTTGTGTGGCTATTTACATTAATACAACACTGATGCATGTTTGACTAGTTTAGTTACATTAAAAAAAATTCCAGTATAGTAACATGTTTTTAAAATGTTTAGCAGAGTAAAGTTGTGAATATTGGAATTACTGCAGTATTAAAAACATCTGAACTCAAATAACATGGTCTAATTACAGTAATAACCAACGGTCTGCTAAATAACCCAGTTACTATGGTAAATTATCTTTTAGAATATCTTTCTGTCCCGTATTTGTTCATACAGTATCATCAGT